CAGTGACAGGGTGCGCGTTAGTGTGTCAGTGTCAGTCTCAGTGACAGTGTGTGTGTGATTGTTAGCCAGGCTGAGCGATTTGGAGAAAGGGGAGGGCAGGGGGAGTTCGCATTGACCTACCGTGCAGACCCAGTTAATGGCGCTCAGCGTTTTATCGAAATTGTTCATGTAGACGACGAAGAAGATGACGCTGAAGACAAGTTCAATGATGGGGGCAGCAGAATAGCCTCCGTACGGCGAGGAACAGAAACAAATGAAGGCAATGAGACACAGCAACTGTTGGGGAACAAAGAGAGAGACATCGTCACTCTGTATCATCGCTCCTCATGCAGCTCCACCCACCGGCGCCCGCTGAATGTCACCGGCCGCCAGCTATTCGGCTACAGGATGCCTCGTCAAACCAACCAATACTTGGCCCTCACTAAACCTGTGTGATTGGCCATCCTCGGTCAAGGGGGCTCCAGCCTGCAGGGAGAAGAGGCCAATGGTTTCAGCTTTGTGGGAGGGCAATTGGAGAAACCCCTTTCGGTGGTAGATGAGGGGGGAGAGAGGCTAAGGGTATAGCTCCCTGGGCACTGTGAGACAATACAGTGTCCCATAGTGCCCAGTATAACCTGCACATCTTTGGGCTGTGGGAGGAAACCAGAGCACCCGGAGGGTGCCCACACAGACACGGGGAGAACGTGCAAACTCCACACAGACATTGCCCGAGGGTGGAATTGAATCTGGGTCCCTGGCACTGTGAGGCAGCAGTGCCAACCACTGAGCCAGTGTGCCACCCTTCTCCGCTGATAAAGATGTTGATGTTTGTTGTAGTGATGAGGCTGACAGCTCTGTGTACATGGTTTAGGGAGCTTCTGAGGAAAAATCTCCCTCTCTACCAGCCTCTCCCACAGACACAAAGCTACCATTCAGAGCCCAGTGCCCACTGCCTGGAATCCTGCCATTCCACACACTTCCCTGACACTGAGGGGGTTGGGGGCAGGGTGGAAGGGGTGGAAGATGCCAGCTGCCAAACACGGGCACAGCGTGCCCCCCTCTCCTCACCCACACCCCCGCGCTCCGGCAACCGTGGTCAGCAAGATCCCACAATAAGCCAACTGGCTCAACGTCGCACAGGGTCAGGAGAGAGAGAGGCGGGGGGGCGGAGAGAGAGAGAGAGAGAGAGAGAGCAAGAGGCAGAGGAGGAGTGACAGAGGGGATGGAGGAGGGGAAAGGGAGGGGTGGGAGACGGGAAAAAAGAAGGGAATGGGGGAGATGGAGGAGAAAGAGAGAGACAGAGACAAACAGAGAAAGACAGACAGAGAGAGGCGGATAGTGAGAGAGAAAGGCAGGGGCAGGGACAGAGAGACTATCCGTCTCTCTCCCACTCCCTACCCCCAGCCCCAACACCGTCTCTCTCCCTCTCCCAACCCCCAGCCCCAACACCGTCTCTCTACTCCCCCCTCCCTCTCCCAACCCCCAGCCCCAACACCGTCTCTCTACTCCCACCTCCCTCTCCCAACCCCCAGCCCCAACACCGTCTCTCTACTCCCATCCTCCCTCTCCCAGCCTCCTTCCATATCTCTCCCTCCTGCTCCCCGTCCCGCTCTACTATGCCCCGTGCTGCCACCTCTCTCCCTGTGCCTCTCTCTCTGTTCCACTCTCTGGGGGAATACGAGGAACTGGGGTGTGTTGGGGGGGGGAGGGGGGCGGTGTTAGGGGAGGGCATGGTATTTAAGCAGCTGTCATGCCAGCCTGGTTTCCAGTACAGGGGCGACGGAGAGGTGGGAATGGAGGGACAGAAGAGAGCAGACAGAGAGGCACTGAGGGAAAAGTGTCCAGGTGATGACAGGCCAAGAGGCACATATGAACATCAGAGAGTCGGAGATTTCAACTCCAAACCAACCTAGCACCCAACGTCCAGTGTTAAAGATACATCCTGCAGAACTGAGCACTGTCGGAGTGTGAGGGAGCAGGCACTGTCGAAGGGTCAGCGCCGAGGGAGCGGGTGCCATCGGAGGGCTGGCGCCGAGGGAGCGGGCGCCAGCGGGATGGCACCGAGGGAGCAGGCACTGTTGGAGGGTCGGCGCCGAGGGAGCGGGCACCGGAGGGTGGGGGCCAAGGGACCGGGCGCCAGAGGGTCGACACCAAGGGAGCAGGCACCAGAGGGTTGATGTTGAGGGAGCGGGCACAGGAGTGTGAGGGAGCAAGCACTGTTGGAGGGTCGGCGCCGAGGGAGCGGGTGCCGTCGGAGGGTTGGTGCCGAGGGAGTGGGGTGCTGTCGGAGGGTCAGGGTTGATTGTTTTCCACAGGTTGCTTGGTGATTCGCGTTTTGGAAAAAGGGACAAAAACTAAATGCCATTGAGGGACAGAGACCGGTACAGGTGAGCTGTTCTCTCCTTTAGGTCCTGAAACAGCCATTGCTCCCCTGACTGCTACATCCTGAGATGGTTTGCATAGCCCTCAGAGTTCTGACTGGTTTGTTTCCTTGCAGGCCGTTTCCTGTCTTGTTTGCACTAACTGGAAGCAACTGTATACTCAGAAAGCAGCAACAGGAGATGGCCATTCAGCGCTTTGCGTCTGCTGGACCGTTCATCGCTGACCATCCAACTCTCTCGCCCGTCCCCTTCCATCCCCTTTTTGTCCCAACAACTATGTCCAACTCCTTCTTGCAAACATTTAACACTCTGCCGCCCCCTCTGTGGCAGACAATCCCACCCCCTTCCCTTGTTTCACCTCAACTCAGTGTGGAAGGAGACCGTTCAGCCCATTGTGTCCTGGCTGATCATCCGAAGGGCAAACCTCCCCTGCATTTACCTGGCCCCTTTTAGCATTCTGTGGGTTTCTGTCAAAGCCCTGACAGACAATTTATCACGGCCAATCCCACCCTAACCCGTACATCCCTGGGCACTACGGGACAATTTAGCACGGCCAATCCACCCTAACCCGCACATCCCTCGGCACTACGGGACAATTTAGCACGGCCAATCCACCCTAACCCGCACATCCCTGGGCACTACGGGACGATTTAGCACAGCCAATCCACCCTAACCCGCACATCTTTGAACTGTGGGAGGGAACCGGAGCACCCGGAGGGAAACCCACGCAGACACGGGGGTGGGGGGAGAACGTGCAAACTCCCACACAGACACAGTCACGCCCAAAGGGTGGAATCGAACCCGGGTCCCTGGTGTCTTGAGGCAGCGGCACTAACTACAGCCATGCCCTCGCTCTTGTGTTAGTGGCATCCGGCCGCGCGGAAACATCATAGATTTGTGCACGAAGCGGAGGAGTTGTGTCATGATCGCTCTGACGGACAAACCCATTGTCCGCCTGGGAAAACTAGGCCGAACCTCGGTCATTTTGACCAGATCCGGTGAGAGATTGGTAACTGGGAAAAACAGCACGTACAAAAAGGGCTGCAGGAGGAACTATCAGTGCGTGTGTGTCGTGTGTGTGCCTGTGCACACTGATAACATCAGGGATATGTCGCTTTTATAAAAACCGCTGACAGTTTGTTTGAACAATGTGGAAATTCGGCTGGGAGGAGGGAATCAAAATGGGCTACTCTTTCTCAGGAGAGCGCACACTTCTGGTCCTTTTCCAACTGTTTAACAAGAACGCAGCTGAGATCTTTTCTCCCCAGTGCCCCTTTTGTCTATCCCCTTTCCGAACAAGAATTTGTCTTTTCTCTGCCTTAAAAAATATCCAAAGCCCCCCACTACTTCTCTGCAGGGAGCTCCAAAGTCAAAAAACGTCAGAGGTGGAGGGAAGGAGTGGGTGGGGTGGAGGAGAAAACAGAAAAGCCTGTCCATTTCCCTTCCAAATTAGACAAACCACTCAGTCATAATTACGGAAACAGACCCTTCGGTGCAACTCGTCCTTAGAGTTTCTCAAACTCAACCAGTCCCCACTTGCCAGCCAATGAACCTCTAAGATCTAACCTGTAGAGCGTCCTGTGAGCTACGTCCTTCAGTGAGGGGAGCAGAAGTGCACACCGTACTCAAGCCTTGACCTCAGGGGGAGGCAAAATGGCCTAGTGGTATTATCGCTGGGCTGTCAACCCAGAGACCCCAGGTAATGTCCTGGGGACCCGGGTTCAAATCCCGCCACGGCAGATGGTGGAATTTGAACTCAATAAAAATATCAAGAGTCTAATGATGACCGTGAATCCATTGTCAGGGAAAAACACATCTGGTTCACCAATTGGGAAGGAAACTGCTATCCTTATCTGGTCTGGCCTACATGTAGACGCACACAGCAATGTGGTTGCCTCATAATTGCCCAGAGGCAAGTTAGGGATGGGCAATAAATGCTGGGCCTTGTCAGTGAACAATCTCACTCTAACCCACACATCCCTGGGCACTACGGGACAATTTAGCACGGCCAATCCACCCTAACCTGCACGTCTTTGGACTGTTGGAGGAAACCAGAGCATCCGGAGGGCAGATGTTGGTTGCGGGGGAGGGGGAATGATATTTGCAAAGTCCACACAGACAGGCGCCAGGGGCTGGATTCGAACCCATGCTGTGAGGCAGCAGTGCTAACCACTGAGTCACCATGCTGAGGCAACATTGTAGACTTCTCGTTGCCCTTCTGTACTTGCGTACAATGAAAATCTAAATCTAAATTCACTGGAGTTCAGAAGAACGAGGGGGTAGGGTGGGGTGCGATCTGATAGAAACCTATTAAATTCTAACAGGACTCGATAGAGTAAAAGCAGGAAGATATTCCCAGCAACCGGGGAGTCACAGTCTGATGGAGATGGGGGGAGAAATATCTCGTGGGGAACTTGTGGGATTCTCTGTCCACAGAAAGCGGTCGGGCCTAAAATGTCGAGTGAGCGCTAGGGGTTGTTAGGCCTGAAGGCATCCAAGGGTACAGCGAAGGAAAGCTATAAACAGGGTCAACCACCATCTCCTGCTCCAATGTGATGTTGCCAATTTACGCGTGGCTGACATAATTATCCAGATATTCGGGCCTTACACGATGAATGTAGCACCTTTTCGTTTCATTCAATCACGGGATGAAGGCGCCTGGGCCCGCATTTATTGCCAATTCCAAATGGCAGTTAAAAGTCAGCTGCTTTGCTGTGTGGGTCTGGAGTCGCGTGTAGGCCAGACCTGGTAAGGATGGCAGCTTCCTTCCCTGAAGGGCATTAGCGAACCGGATGGGATTTTCCACCCCCGACAATCGTCCATCAGTCATTAGACCCTTAATTCCAGGCTTTCTGTTTACATTGAAGTCAAATTCCGCCATCTGCCGTAATGGGATTCAAACCCAGGTCCTCAGAACGTGAGAGATAGCAGGAATTGCAGATGCTGGAGAATCTGAGATAACAAGGTGTAGAGCTGGATGAACACAGCAGGCCAAGCAGCATCAGAGGAGCAGGAAAGCTGACGTTTCGGGTCTAGACCCTTCTTCAGAAGTGGGGGAGGGGAAGGGGATTCTGAAATAAATAGGGAGAGAGGGGGAGGTGGATAGAGGAGAAGATAGGTGGAGAGGAAACAGACAGGTCAAAGAGGCGGGGATGGGGCCAGTAAAGGTGAGTGTAGGTGGGGTGTTAGGGAGGAGATAGGTCAGTCCAGGGAGGAAGGGCAGGTCAGGGGGGTGGGATGAGGTTAGTAGGCCCACCCCCATCTCCTACCTACTAACCTCATCCCGCCCCCTTGACCTGTCCGTCCTCCCTAACTCCCCACCTACACTCACCTTTACTGGCTCCATCCCCGCCTCTTCGACCTGTCTGTTTCCTCTCCACCTATCTTCTCCTCTATCCACCTCCCCCTCTCTCCCTATTTATTTCAGAACACTCTTCCCCTCCCCCATTTCTGAAGAAGGGTCTAGGCCCGAAACGTCAGCCTTCCTGCTCCTATGATGCTGCTTGGCCTGCTGTGTTCATCCAGCTCTACACCTTGTTATCTCAGAACGTGAGCTGGGTCTCTGGATTAATAGTCCGACGATAAGACCTGTATACCTGGCACCTCATGCCCTCTCTCTTTCTTGGTCTGATGTGTGTCATTGGCACCAACAGACCCCACAATCCCCTACTGCATGTTCGCCAGCAACCCACAGCTGAATTTGTGAACCCCTGGCCTTTGGGCAGATACCGGCTGGAGTCTGGCCATTGACCAGACGGGGCGAGCGAGGGAGTGCGCGGACGTACGGAACTGCAGAGCGAGAGGGAACCTCAAACCGAGAGCTTGAAAAATTGAGAGTACGAGACAGAGAGATAGGGAGAGATGGAAAGAGTGATAGAGCAATTACAGACAGACAAACAGACAGACAGACAGAGACAGACAGACAGAGATGGATAAAGAATGAGACAGAGAGAGAAAGACAGAGACAGAAAGTGAGATAGACAGAGAGA